GAACCCATCACTTTCTTGGTAACAGATGGAGCCTTTGAAGGGTTCCCACAGCTGGTGGTTTCCAAAGGCCTCGGTGTGCTGAGGAGGGTGATGGCTGAGACTAGAGGGCCCGAAGAAACCAGTAGTGTCTCCTGGGATGGCATGGTGGGCCGGGCAGTGTGCGAACGGGGACGAGTCACCCACAGTGGCCCTCAGGAACCCTTCCTCCACCCCAGCATCCCCCGGCCTGAAAATAACGTTCTGTGTAGGCTGTTGCAGCAGCAAAGCACTCTGGGATCCTGGAGAGAAGGGACCAGAAGACAGTTTTCATGTCTGGTTTTGCTCTGGGAGCACACTGCACTATCCTCTCCTTGGAAGCGGGGGTCGTTCCTTACAGCATGAGCTTTGATGCTTCCAGGTGCCCCTGGTGCAGCAGGGCCCCCGAGAACCACAGGACTCCTTTCATTTGAGACCAAACCTGTATTCCAATTGCGGGAATTTCCCGAGCGCCATCCTGACAGGTGAGTGTGAGCCACCCCTCCGCTTCTCTTTTTATTTCGCTGTGTTTCTACAGATACTGCTGTAAGACAGTTTAAACAATATAACATTATATAAAGCAAAAGATGAATGCCTTCCAGCTCAACTTGACCTTTGTGAGATGCGGGTGTCCAGCCCCAGAGGCTGTGAGGCCGCAGGGAAAGGGCCAGATAAGCCAGGCCTTTTCTGATCTACTTAGTTTCTGGTGATTGACAGCTATTCAAAGGGAGAAAACCTGCCAAACTGGGAGTCGTGGAACCGACTGCAAAGAACATAGATTCCAGAGTGAAACTGTAGGCCTGGAGTGGTTGGGACACGGGTGATGACCATCCTGGATGGGAAGATGACAGGAACAGCGTTTTGAGGGTTGTCATTAGTTATGCCGTTTAGTGGCCTGGGCCCTCACGCCTCCTAATCAGCACTGTTTTCCCCTCTCACTGCTCTTTCTAGAAGACTCGAGCACCAGCCTATTCAAAGACCTCAGCAGTGCTCTGGCCGGCATGCCTGAGGTCAGCCTGAACGTGGACACTCCGTTTCCATTGGAAGAAGAGCTCCAAATTGAACCCCTGAGCCTGGACGGACTCAACATGTTAAGTGATTCCAGCATGGGCCTGCTTGACCCCTCTGTTGAAGAGACCTTCCGAGCTGACCGACTGTGAACAGAATGGAACGGAACAGGAGAACTTATTTCTGAAATAGCTAAAATAGAATGGAATAGCGTGGAGCCAGCTACACCCCTGAGCTTTAGTTATCTCTGGCTTGTGACATGGAAGGAACCAATTCCTTGGCTCCCAGCTTTCAGACAAGGCCCCATCTCACACACGGTGGCTTATTCGAGACCACAGAGCTGGGCACCGCCCCTCAGGCCTGCGGCGCAGGTCCCGTTGCTGCAGGCAAGCTGCTCTGGGGCCTCCGATGAATCAGCCATCACCACCACCATTACATCTTTTCATTGGCCATCTAGTCGGTCGATGTGTAAAGTAGAAAATATGTAACAGGAGGCCCCAGTGGAATCGTGTCGTGCTCAGAACCACTGATCTCAGTCAACACTGAAGGAAGGACCCGGAGTTGGGGGCAGTTAGGCCTTTGGGAGTCAGTTTCAGCTTCCAGAAACGGTACCACAGCCCCAGGACGCCTTCTCTGATCCAGCCGCTGTGCCTCGCAGCACCAGGATGTAGCAGGGCGGAGCAGAGGGCCAGGGCTCTCTCGGAGCCTCAGTTCTCACATGAAGAAGAATTTTTACCACACGTCCAAGAACAGACTTGCGTGAAGCAAACTGAATGCTAATTTGTTTTCTCCCAGTTTGTAATCTCTTTTCTGCTGCTTCAGTACACCTTTTCCTATGGACGAGAGGAAAGGGAAGACTATTTTATTCAGTCACTGAAATAAGAAATCCCCTGGTAATGGATGAGACTGAAGAGAACAGTGCTCCTTCTTGGTGGCTGGGGAAGAAAGAAGGGGGCTGTAGGTATCTCACAAACACGTGACATCCTCCAGACAAGCGCCAGACAATACAGGCCTCCCTCCCTCCAGACCAGCTGGAGGGAATGGCTGAGGTCTGACTCCGGCCCACCCGGCAGCCGAGGAGCAGCAGAGGGAGGTGGATTCTCTGTGGAACGGGAGTGTTAATGTAACCCTTCTAGACCGTAAGCTCCTTGAGGGCAGGGACTGTGCCTCAGTCATCGTTGAACCCCTAATACCTAACAAGTGCCTGGCACGGAGCAGGTGCTGCAGAAGTGTGCGTTGGATGCACACACGCGTGAGTGAGTGAGTGCGTGCGTGAACGAATGAATCTGCCTTGCTGTGGGGCAGTCTAATCTCCAACTATCCCTGTTCCTCACCAGATGTTCTCAGAGTTTCAGCTTTTCTAACACTTGTGCCTGTGGTTCAGTTAAGCATGCACTTTAATATGCTTTTAACACTAGATGACCAAATCCACGAGTAGACTGCGCCCTGTTCTCCTCGAGGGTGTGCAGGGAGGTGACATCTGTCTTTGCAATGCGTCCAGAATGGCTGAGCCAACTGAGGCCTCCTACATGCTGGGACCTCAGAGGTCCTGGCCCCCGCAAAAATCTTCCCTCTCAGACCCAGGTTTTACTTTCAATTGCTTTTGTTTTTTTAATTTTTTTTGAGGGGAGGAGGGAATTAGGTTTATCTGTTTTAAGAGGAGGTACTGGGGAGTGAACAGGACCCTGTGCATGCTAAGCATGTACTCTACCACTTGAGCTATACCCTCCCCCTGCTCTCAATTGCTTTAAAAAGAGATTCATTCTCTGAGGTTGAAGATATAGTGTATAATAAAATGAAGGCCTAATTTATGAAGCCATCATTAAGCATCAGTATCTTCGCATAATAGTATCACTATATTTCCACCACTGCCTGCCTCCTCTGACTTAGTCTAGGCCATCCCTGACCAGAGACCTGACTGGTGGGTTTGAGGCCCCTCTGGAGGGGTCTGCCCAGTGGGGCCGAATACATACTTGGGAGGACAGGAACACTGAAGGAGAGAGAGATGCCAAAACCTTTGCCCAGACAAAGTGGCTACTGCCCTTCCTGGAGACACCAGGAGTGTCACTAACGGCCACTCCCACCCAAAGAAGCCAGGCTGCACTGTGTGGGTCTGAATCTGACACGTGTACCTGGTGGCAGGAGGAGCCTGTCACAGAATCCTGGCTGTTAACCTCTCCAGACCTTGTCCTATTTCCTTCTGTCTTCAGGGGGATTCCCTCCTTCCCATCTTTCAAATAATCCCAATGGTGCATATCTTCACTGAGAAACCCAAGTCTTCCCAATTCTCATTTGCCCTGAACCCCCACTGTTGAATTAGGAAGTCAAGCCGGAGCCCTCCTTGCCTGAGCTTAGGCTCAGGAAGGGGCAATTGGCCTCCCCTTAGAAGCCTTAGTCCCAGTTAAACTTCCAGCTCCCTTTATATTTGAGATCTCAGAGGGCAGTAACTTTTTGTTAAAGTAAAAGGGCCTTTCGTTGTACACAGCACCCTGGTGTGCCGAAAGAAGCCAGATCCTTGCTGCCTCTCCTGAGTCAAGGGCCCCCAAAATCTGATCTGGCCATTCAGATAGGGAGGAGTGCTGATGTTGTAAGTTTTTTTTTTTTTGAAAAATGGAGGTCCCAGCATAATCTGCTCTTTACACAGTGCCTTACCCATGGAGATTATTGCTGTCGGGGTCCCAGCTCTTTCTGTCTGCACAGCAGCCCTGCCTTACAGCTGGAGACCCTGAGACCTACAGGACAATGTGTACTCCCGCCTTCATTCGCCAGGTGACTCGTGGAAATGGAGGCTCCCAGGAAAAGTGGCTTGTTTGGGGGAGTATAATGATGACAGTAAGGTTTAGCACTGAATTAAATTTGTCCTTAGGTCCATCAGTCCGATCTTTTCCTGTGAAAAGGTTTTGGGCATTATACAACCCACTTTGATTACAGGGTGTCAAGGACACCCGCAGGCAGGTGTCTGCCTGACCTTCGGTGGGTACATCTGCCCTCACTGCTGCCTTTGTAACAAACCAGGCGTGGTCCTCGGCATCTGAAGTGGCTGCAGACTTCAGAGTAAACTATTTTTCAATATTTAGTTTTTCACAAGAAATCGATGGTTGTACTACTCTCATTTACCAGCAGTTAAACAGCATAGAACTAAAACCTTTTTTTCTATTTTGTTCCTTCTGTATGGTTGTGGTTTTTAGGACATAAGCTTTTCTTGTTTATGTCAAGATCAACATGAATTCTCCTTTGTCCTGTTTCATTTCTCCTAAGTCTACTGTATATTACCTGAGCTGAAATGTTGTGTATTCCAGTCCATTTGCATATTTGAAGACATTTCCAATTCCGACTCTCATCGGCTCTTCTGATCCATGCACAGATGGTTCCAAGCGTGTTTCTTCCACTGCTTCATGATGGAACCATCACGGTAACTAATCAGACTTCCCGCCAGTGTCCTAGTTCCCAAGTCCTTCATTAAACAATATTTAAAGATTGGAATTTGTATAAAGTAGCTTCCAAGTTTTATAATGCATCATTTTACATCTTTCCTAATTAAAGGCAGCACAATAAGGTTGTAACTGCATTTGGTGTTTTTCTTCAGCCTCGGGTGAGATGAATTAGTGGAAAGCCTTTCTCAGCTCAGCCTGCAGTTAGAGATGTCTGATCCTCGGCTCAGCAGGTCCTGCACTGGCCCCACTTGTCAAGTGTTCTTAATATGTGCCGTTGCGCCCAGTCCTGAGAGCAGTTCAGAAAGAAGTAGGGGCGCGCGGTTGCTTTGAGGCTGTAGGTACCCAGGATGGGACATCGTGGCAGGGGGCTCAGGATTCTGCTCCCACAGTGGCACCTCTTCCAGACCCTGCACCTGCCCTCCCCTAAAACCCCTCCGCTTTGAAGGTTCAGCCACTGATGCTCCTCCCCACCTACTACGCTATCCTGAACAGTCTTTAGCCCTCCCCCCACCTCACCAAGGACTTGGGCTCAGTTTTCTACCCCCAGCCCCGCTCCCCACATCCCAGCAGGGTTCACAGGCCTGACCCATCCAACAGCAAACAGCCTCAACCACCTCCACAGACCCACTTCCTCAGCCACAGCCACACCCAGGGCTTGTCAAAGGTGAGTCTTCTGAAATCTTACTCAGAAATCCCATCTCTGACCCCAACTTCCTGAGCTACCATTTCTACTTGGGTCTACACACACTCTATTCTTTGACCCCACTGTGAGTTCTGTCCCTTGTCCCTTCTCAGTCTGCCTGTCCTCTCCCGCCTCCACCCCCGCTCCCCGTGTAGGAGGCCTCCATGACACCCTCCCCAGCCCTCCTCCTGCTCTGACTCTTGGCATTTAAATCACCTTTGCCACAGGCCTTCCCCATGGGGCTCTAAACTCTTCGAGGACAGGGGCTGTGCCTGTCTACGTGAATTCACCATCTCCGGTGCCTGGCATGTAGTAGATGCTCAATAAATATTTTCAAACTGCTGACTACTGTCGGGCCTCTCTTGGATCACGGCCTCTAGCTGGATCTGCTCAAGCTGGAGAGCGAGCCCTTCTGCACAGCCATCCTCCTCCCCCCAGATCCAGCCTGAGTCCCCATGCCTGTCTCAGCCCCCATTCTGTCTCGTGAGCCTTGCAGTGGCTTCCCATCTGGCTCCTTCCTCATCTCTGGCACACTAGGGAACCTCTACCTCCTCTCAGAACTTAGCAGAGTGACAGATTTTACTTCTCGTGTCTCCCAGTGTTCTTATCTATAAAGTGAGACACTAAGCACCCC